TGACGTTAAGATAACATTTGTAGGTCTTTGAATTCAGTCAAACCTTAAATGGAAAGTCCATTGAAATGAATTGAACACTAAATTAAATTCTTTACGCTTCGCTTTCAGAATTCATTCAAATACAGTCATCCTTGATACTGCTCGTTGTATATACTTCGCGAATGTTTATTCTCGCCTGAGTTATGGAATAATACTCTGGGATAATACATTTCACAGTTCCGACAGTATTAGATTACAAAAAAGTATTGTACGAATAATAAGCAAATCACACCCACATGATTCTTGTAAGCATCTCTTTATTAATTTAGATATTTTACCATTACTTTGTCTCCTTATTTACGAAGTAGTGGTTTTTTGACAAAATGACTTACTGAAGGACAGGAATATATTTTCAGCAAACGCCGATGTCTATAATTATAATACTTGAAATTGTAATCGTATTCATCAGATGCCTGTATCAACAGCACACTATAAAAAATTCACATACCATACAGGCACATTATTTTACAACACTTTGTCAGATGACATTAAACGATTAAATTTGATACAAAAGTTCAAGTCCCAAGTAAAATGTTTTTTGCTGCATCACTTTTTCTACACAACTAGAAACTATACCTAGAATCCAAAAGGAAAGCAATATTAATTTTAAGAATGACATTTAATGTATTACTTACCATTTGGATTGTATAATTCTAAAGAACCTGTAACAAGTAATGTACTTCAGCTTCTCGGTCAATTACCCCCATCTCGGTCAGGTTTTCGTCCACTTTCCCTGCTCCTTGAGCAAATACTTAGATGGCCCCTTGATTTGCTTCAGGACATAAATGTAACTTCAATTTAACTTCTCCATATAGAGTTTTTAACGCAAATAAATAAGTAATATACGTAGTGTAGATTAAGTTTTGAGATGCTGCGGAAAATCGATTTCGAGATTTCAACGGAAATAAACGTTTTGGGATCCCCTGATACCGAAAAAGTGTTTTTTAAACGCCCGTCCGTCTGGTGTATGTGAACCACACTAGCGCATAAATCATGTGTAGGATTTTTTCCAAATTGAGGAAACCCCTGTCAATTTGGCCTGAGTTGAAGTTCTACGATCTTTAAAATTATTCATTAGTTTTTGGGGATACTTTCCATAAAACCCCTGGAACATTTTGAAATTTTCTCAAAAATGTATCTAATTTTTTCTTTAGATTTATTGTAAGAATAGAGTAAAATTCACTTATAAATGTGATATATGTACGATTTTAACGTTATCTGAATTTTCGACAATTTCAAAAGTATGATTTTTTCGACTTCCTGTAGGTACAAAATTAGAGATATAGATTTTTCTTTCAAATAAATATAATAATAATTTTAAATTTGTTGCCCATAATTTGTTCTTTATCATTTTTTTGAAAATTTTAGTAGTTTTGCGCAATTTTACGTGCAATTTGCGCAATTTTAAAATATCACAAAACAAGATTTTCTCAAAAACGGCTCCAAATTTTTCTTTAAACTTTTGGAAGGGAATGTGCTAAATGCACTCTTGAAGATGACATAAACACCATAACGCTCTATTCCTTTGTTTTTTCAAATATTAAAAAAATGTAATTTTTCTGACTTGTCTCTCATGCCATTAATATTTACATTGATGGTAATTTGTTCAGATTATTATATTTATGAGTACATGTACTTTAAGAAAGTCATATAAAGCTTTTCTAAAACTAAAGCGTTTTCTGTGAAAACTAGCTCAAAATTCTGCATTTTTAGAAACGCTCAAATGCAATTTTCTCAAATGCGTCTCCAATTTTTTCTTGAAACTATTCGACCGGATAGTGCTAATTGCACTCTTTAATATGACGTTAAATTCATTTCGTGGAATTATTTTGTTCATTCAAAAACTACACAAATATTACTTAAAGATCTCTCACGCCAGTAATATGCACACGTCCAGCAATTTGAAAACGCCATGTTTGTAAGTTAATGTACTTCAAATGACTTTAAGTTAAGTTTTTCGAAAATTAACAAAAATCTGTGAAAATGTGCTTCAAATTTCGAATTTACAGTAGCGCTTAAGCACCATTTTCTTAAAACAGCTCCAAATTTTTCACAAAAAATTACCGTACGAGGTATTACAGTTCTTTAATATTCTTAAAATAATATTTCCGTTCTACTATTAGGAAACAGAAAAATTGAGAAAGTTCTAAAAAATGAAATTGGGGCGGCGATAGATAGTAGCATGCAAGAGAATGTGGTAAGCCTGAATAGCTACCCGAGACCAATAGGAAATAGAAAATTAATACTGGAAAGTCTGTGCCATTCTGTTGCTCCACTAGTTTTGAATTGATGATGCCGTTTTTTAAGGAGCTGTTTTTTTACATCAGACTTTATCTGAGCCTTACATTTTTATCTTCAATTTTATAGTTTAAAATGTTTACTTTTGCAATTTTCGAAAAACCAATCAATACCCCAAAATGGGACTAGCGCCATATTTTTTACCGTTCTGTATTACATATGTGGAGAAATTTTAAGTAATAACTATAAAAAGGTTTTTAAGAAAAAAATATTAATGGCCTATATTTCGCGCAAAATTACACGCAAACTACTCATATTTTCGGAAAGTTGAACATTAACATATTTTAAGATGTTTGGTGTAACTAAGCAAAATTCTCAAAATTTTCACAACTTTATATTTTAGACTCATTTAAAACTTTGTTTTCGTAATAAAATTATATATCTAGCGTAGTGGAAATACAAGTGTTTGTGTGTTTTCTATACCATTGTTGTTTGGTCTGCAGCTGTCAGATAACCCTTCATGTTTACAGCTGTTCGTTCAAAATGTCATAACACAGAAACTAATCAGTTTAGAAAGCTGTTCAGGACATTGGAACTACTGCCAGGTGTGTTTGGGCGGTATTAATTTCTTTTTAGATGTGCTTATTGTAACAAGTCCTTTACAATTTGATTTGAACAAAGCCTCCTAAAATTTTATTTATGAATATTAAAACACTGAAATGGGGAGTTTGTAACGCAATGATTCAGTGATAGAAATTCTGGAAGAATTAAAAGACTGCAACAATTAGGTATGGTACCAGGAGTCAATACAGTGAAAGACTTGCAAGATACGGATGACAGAAAAATTCAGAATGCGCAGCGAACAGCAAATTTCTCATCACAGGAGGCAAGATCACTAGGAAGAAAGCGACATTTGAAAGAAAATTAAAAAAGGAAGATGATTCTGAGTATGGATCAGGATTATACTAAACAACATGTTTTTAAAAAAAGTATTTCTATTACTTGTAACTTTAAAATAATTTTCTCCAAAACTAACTTTTTTGCTACATTTGCCCCAAATTTTCAAAACCCAATTATGCTACATTTGATACATTTTTAAAATGCTACTTTGCTACATTGTTAAAATTTATATTATTCCACATTGTTAAAATTTTCGAAGTACATTTCCCTAATAACAAGAGAACTACTGAACTGTACTTAATATATTTAAATTCATATTTATTGAAATACAAAAATAATCATAAGAAAAATTAAAAACGTCTTTCTTTCGACAAAAATTATAAAAAACTTATAATTGTAGTTCAGAAGATAATAGAGCATCTGACAGAATTTCAAATTCCTATCTTTGATAGAATTGAAGAAGAAGATATCTCTCAGAAAATACGGCACAGGGTCTTGTTATTCCCCTTAAGGAACATATTTCATTTAGGAAAAAATCTTTCTTCAATGTTATAGTTGTACGAACAAACCTAAAAAAACTTGAATTTTTGTAATTTTTGAAAAATCAGAGTTTTCAAGGAAAATGAGTCCTGCACCATTCTCTTAAACGTCTACTCTATCTGAGGATCTATCTTTAATCAATCAATTTGGTACCATTATTTTTAATTTTGAAAATAACTGAGGGGCTTAATGTTATGTAGCTCCCAAAATTAAAATATGGCTTTTAAATTCCAGCGTCCACGACATCAGTCAGAACATTTGGGGAATATCAATTTTCGATAAAATGGTTTATGAACGGTTTATGCGTTAGCCTTGTGCACAGTCGGACACACACGTTTTCCGTTATTCAATTTTTCGGTATCAAGGTCGCAAAAATAAAGGATTCTGGCTACGCCACATTAGAGAGGAATTCTTTTTCTATATTTAGCAACTGCACTTATCCAATTTTTCGTTACCAGGGCACATCAATTAGAGTTTTTGTATCGAAAACTCGCCGTTTTCGGCGCACGATTACAATATTTTATATATTTTTTCTTCTTACGTTAGTAAGGACGAGAATGTAATAAAAAAGAGAAATAAATTAAATTAATTTGTTACACAATTACAAGGACGTACAAGGTCTTGATAAAATTACTAGGTCTTGATAAAATATTTTTCCAACTTCAAATGGCACATCTTTCTTAGCTATAACTAGAACTAATATTTACTATGAGAGTAGAAATAGATTGAAGAAAACTTTTAATTTTAATGCAGATAACTAGAACTTTTGTATTATAAGATCAAAATTTGATTTAGATCAAGATTTTTACTTTTGTTATATGTAGAATGTAAGAAGTATTGCTTCCCACAAAAGTATACATAGCATGTTGTAGTTATTTTCTTTCCTAATTGAGAGTTGTAAACTGAGTTTGGAACATGCAAATTATGTGTCTTTATAAGCACCTAATCTTGAATTTATATCAGTTGTGTAAGAATCAACCAATTTGCTTTTATTCACATACTTACAGATTGATTCACGTAGTTATAGTCACGTACTTATAGATATTGATTTCCACATGCCTAGTTATAATGTATTTAGTAATATTCACAACTATGGTATCTTAAAAAATGTATATTGTAAAGTTCAAAATGTTTTCTCTTCTGCATGTAATTTTTTTGATAAGTTAATATACTGAAAAATTGTTAATAATTCAATGCTAAAAAGTAAATAAATTAAAATGTGTTTTGATGGTATTTCGAAGTTTATTTTGTCATGCAAAAATATATTAATTTTTATATTTCAGAAATTATGTGGAACTACAGAAGCATTACATATATTAACAAAAGGTAACAATTCAAGATTTGAATTCATATTTACAAATCTTGTACTGGGAAATGCAAGACATCTGACTTCAATAATGGGTGTACATAAGTGAGTACTTATTACTTGTCTTTTTCTCTGTACATTTTGAACTTTGAAACAGTTTCATACAGTTTATCCAATATTAACATTACTATTTTATACTGTTTTTTTTTGAAAATATGGCAATTGCAGCACAAATTAAAAAAAAAAAACTTTGCATGTCGTCACTGCCCATTGCCATTGCCAGTGTCCATTGTGTCAGTTTCCATTGACAGTCCAAACAGGGTCCATTGTCAGTGCATGTCTGTGGCCTTCTGTTTTTTATTCATTCACAAATATGGATTTTAACACCTATGTTTCAACGACACAAATCAGGATTTTAACGTAAGAATTATTATACAACTGAAGCAAAAGTAACTGTTTGTCTTTTTTGTTAATCGTGTGAGAATCTGCAGCCATGAATTCATTGGGGCCATTCAACAATATTTACTATCATAGGGGTGCATATAGGAGAGGCAATGGGACTGTGCTGCCTCTGAAAATTTTGCAAGAGGCGCTATAGCCTCATGTAATAAAACATTTTATTTCCTTGGCTCTTAGATGCACCACCATTTAATTTTATGAGAATGCACTACATGGGTCTCTTAGACCCGGCATTACAACCTCTGAAACTTTGTAAATAAAATAAGATTTTTTATCTTAATGTATTGATGAATGGAAAGTTTTCTATCTATTTATGCACTTATGTAGAAACATACATAATTTATTAATAATTACCAAATATTACTACTGTAATTTTAAAACAGGTGGGTTTGTGATTTTCTACAATTTTTGTTAGTTATGTTTTCAATAATAGTAATAGTAATAAAAATTTATAGTTATTAATCACAACAAATTTATTGAAAATGCAACATAAAATAAAGTTATTTGCAGTTAGAACACAACACATTACTATTGTAGCGTCGTCGCATAACGCATAACCAAAATATCTTTACACCATACTTTCCAGGCTTTGATGGCATGTACTGAATAAATGAACAACGGCCACGGTATGCTAAAGCTTCATAGCTGTGCATCAATTGAAAGAATTTAACTTGGTATGTAATTTTTATTACACTGATCAATAAACAGTTTCCATAGCTCTCTATAACATCAATAAACAGTTTCCAAGCTGCATCGCAGCAGCTCTATGAGTTTCAAGTCTACTTGAGCGTGTCCGTTTGTCATCAAATCTAATAAATCTGCAGAAGAGTTCGAATTGTGCGAACTGTTCCTTGCATTGTAGCGAGGATTGTAACAATTAGAAGTAAACATTTCACGTACAGTAACATTCCAATTACGTTCAACTCCAGCTAAAATAACAAGACCTAAAAGTTCTTGTATCTCTTCAACTATGAAAGATTCGTAGCTAAAGCATATCTCACTGCTGACTCTCCTGTATTCACAGTTTGTGAGCAGTAAAATCTCAACTATAATTTCTTCTGTGACAAATTAAGAGCACTTCTTTCGTCAGAGGTATTGACTTGACGGGCAGGTCTCTCTCTAAATCTGATTAGGTTTCTTTAAATGATTTGTAAATTGCACCTTTTAATCTGCCACCTCATACTTCTCCACATCTCCTTGCAGTTGTAGTATTTCCTGTGTTTGGAGAAGGTACGCTTGGATATTCAGATGAATCAGACAATGATTCTTCAGATGTTGGATTGTAATCATGTGTCACAGGATATTGTTGGTCCTCCTGGTTCATCTTCATCTGAAGACGAATCGAGTCGATACCCTTCAATTTCATCACTACTCAATCTCTTCCGCGCCATTCTGTGTAAAAACAAATAATGAAATGTGATCTAATAAAAGCAGAAAACGGAGGCCCTTAAAACTTCCTATTCCATATTTATAATAAATTAACATTGTGCTTTACAATGTTATCATTTGAGAGTTCACTCACCTTTTAGAAATCATGCCACGTGATGAAACGTGACTAGTCACCTGCCATCCAATCATGATTTTTATAAAAGACAGTAAGTTATATCCGTTGGTTGTCTGCTTCAATTCAATGCTTATCTACATTACTCTGCAGTTTTAATGGAGAGAAAAGAAGTGCCAACTGTAAAATAGTGTTAGCCGATATTCCTTCACACGGGCCTAAAAGACCCGTGTAGGGCAGAAGAAAGGTAATTGTTTTCCAAAATATACAATTTTATTGCGTACGTTTCACTTAAAACACATCATTCATTAAATTGTTAGAGCTATGTATCACATAGATAGACATCTGAATACCGTTAGCGTATTTATTAACATTTAAAAAGTCTCCTTGGCACAAAAGGACATTATTTACTTATCTTTCAGATTATTTACCAATTGAATATGGGGTTCCGCAAGGCTCGATCTTCATATCTTCTTTCTGTTATACGTAAACGATATGCTGTCGTCTACTAAAAACAGAAGAACAGTTCAGTTTGCCGATGACACGAATGATCTTTGCAAAAAAGAATAAATAGTACGATTTTAGAAGTTTCAAATTGGTTTTGTAATAACAAATTAATAGTTAATGAAGGAAAACCAGTTTCAATGCATTTTTGCATTTCAAATCAGCAATCGCATGCATCATTGAAAATGAATAATATGCAATTAGGTGATGTTCAGGTAACAAAAGTTCTAGGTATGTCAATTCAGTCAAACCTCAAATGGAATGTACATATAACAAAATTAAACACTAAATTAAGTTCATTATGTACGCATTCAGAATTCTATCAAATTCTGTCAGCCTTAATGCAGCTCGTTGCGTGTATTTTTCAAATGTACATTCCCGCCTGAGATAAGATATAAAATTCTGGGGAAACTCATCATGTAGTCCTCCGACCTTTAGATTGCAAAAGAAAATTATTCGCATAATGAAAAAATGCTATCCGCGTGATCCCTGCAAGCCTCTCTTCATTGATCTTGGAATCTTATCACTGCCTTGCCTATATATTTACGAATCTGTAATATTTGTCGGAAGTTACTTACTTAACGGTGGGAACATACTTTCATGCAATACTGATATTTATAATTACAACACACGTAAAAATCACATTCATTAAGTGTCAGTATCAACAGCTCACTACCAGAAATTCACATACAATACATGTATTTTACTTTACAACGCACTGCCGGATGGCATTAAACAGTTGAAGTCGGTTCACAGATTTAAGTTAACAGTAAAATATTTTCTGCTGCATAACTGTTTCTATACAATTAGAGACTAAACTGATTGTCAAAAAAGAAAAATAATGTTTATTTTAACAAAACAGTGATAATATCCCCCCTACGTCACATACAGTTTTTACTTTTGTTTTTTTGACTGAATAAATCTAAATCTCCCGGGCCTCTTAGACCCATGTGGTGCTTCCAAGCGTTAAGATACTCATCAACTTCAAATTGTATTCTGTAATTTTTATAAAACACTTAATATGTGTGTAACAAATAATGTACTTCAGCGTTCGAGTAAATGACCCTCATCTCGATCAGATTTTTGTCCAGTTTCCCTGATCCATTGAGCAAATGCTGAGATGACCCCTTGTTTTGCTTCTGAACGTAATGTAGCTTCACTATCGCACGTTTTGTTGAACTCTCCTTTTGCTTGTAATAGTAAAAGTTGGAGAAAAATCATACTTGCAATTCGTGTACCAATGGAAATAAGTTTCCTATAACTCACAAACGAAAATTACTATTTTTCAAATATTACTAATCATGCGATTTTTTAAAATTTATTATTTTTATTTATGTTAAACTTTAATTCATTTTTCAACTATTTATAGTTAAAATGACGGGAAGGGATTCTAGAACACAAGAAAGCGTGCGCAGATAATATATTTCCCCCTACGTCACATACAGTTTTTACTTTTTTTTGACTGACTAAATCTAAATCTCCCGGGCCTCTTTGACCCATGTGGTGCATCGAAGCGTTAAGATACTAATCAACCTCAAAATAACGTTTTCCAATGAAAATTGAATTTTTATATTTTCGTTGTTTGTTGTGCGTAATGATGTGTTATTTTCAATGCTTAAAACTGTTTGTTTTTATGATTCTTATTTTTTGGTTTATTTGTACTTTTCTGAATGCGCGTGTATATGCCGCGTCCCATAGCCTTTTGCAGTTCAAGTGGCGATGATCGCAGAAAATGAAAGAAAATGAAGATTATTTCGTGTGAAATATTTAATTAGCAATTTATACTAATGCAAAGTCCTTATATGAAACGCAAAATATCCTTTTGGACATTTTTTTTCTTATAGTTAGAGAAGTAGTGTTTACACATGACCGCCTAAGAGCTAATGAAATCTGGCTTAATCTGGCTTTTCCCCAGAGCTACTTTTTCTCTTGTTTGGCCTGACTCGAAACATCTGATTTTAAAGATGTATTTATGATTCATTTTTTATTTAATAGCAGAAAGTGAATTCTTGTGCCTAAACCAGTGGCATAGCGTAGAGGAATGGGCCGCCCCGGGCGGCACATTTTGGGGTTGGCAAAACTTCACAATAAATAATAATACATAATAATAATAATAATAATAATAATAATAATAATAATAATAATAATAATAATTACCAGTGAGGTGTGTGGGTTAGAATAGCGCCTCGGGATCTCCTCCTGTCGTAAAGGGTGACGAACTGGAGCAGCTATCTGCTCTCAGACACTTCTCTAAACATCCTGTAATTTCCACTAACTTGGTGTGTTATTGATTCCACATTCTTGTGAAACTTGTTTCCTGTCCTGTAGGCCAATCTTCGTATCAGTGTTTCCGACCCCGATGTTCCGAGGGCTAGATAGTCATTTCTATTCCACTCTTCAAACTAACTCTTCTAACTCTTTTCTTTACTGTCGCCCTTGTCTTCCTTTTCCTTTTAGCTGGCTGGAGCTCAAAAACGCTTGGGGAAGGCGAACCTGAAGAAAAAAACCAGGGTGGAAAGTCTTTCAGGATCAACCATTACGGTGCAGGGGGTTAGAGCTCTGGTAGCGGCGGTTCGTGGGGAGCACGCAGGTCACTAAGCGTCGTCACCCAACGACTGCAATGCGGATCACTCGGCACCCC